ATTTCTATAAATTCCATTTTTTAACCGAAATGGATGGGGATACTTTTGTTTTGTAGAGAATTTATTTGCGAATGTTTTGGTACCAAAATGAATATTATATCACATAAACTTCTATGAGTAAAAAAAAAATACACAAAGTATGTTTGGGGGTGTGGCGAGCGTGTGGCAGTGGGTTCCCTTTAGCCGTTGATATATCCAACACGTGGGAAATATTTGTATGTGTTATGTATATGTCTGTGTAGGGAATTTTACTGCGATCACTGTCATACAAATTATAAAATGTTTCAACAAGTATAAACATGACAAACATCAAACGAACGAAAACAATGCGTTCGTTTCTGCTGCGAACGCATACTGAGCGACGTGGTTCTATATTTGGCGCTTCTCTTACACATGCTTTGTACAAATGTTATACAGTTCATCTTATAGAAAATTTTATTGCGAACACATTGGTATAAAAAAGAAATACGTACATAGAAAAGTAGGGTCAGGAAACGTATAAACTTTCCAAGCATGGTTTCCCCCCTGTGTTTTCGCCAGTGCGCTCGCGGCTAACTACTCTCCACTTCACACATTCTTGCGGGTGGGTAATTACCTATATTAAACATTCATATGCATATGTCCGTGTAGAGAATTTTATTGCGATTCCAATGATACCAAAATTAGCGATGTAGGACAACTGTAGGCTTCGCAACCATTAAGAGAGTGGAAACATTTTGTTGCTGTTTGGCGCTCTCGGCGAGTGATCTGCATAGTTTTTTATTTGGTGTTGATACTCCTTATGCTTGGGCGGCATTTTATAGGTATGCTCTTATAGACAATTTCATTGCGAACACAGTGATACCAAATTTAAATACGTGCGCCTTCAATTATTGTCAGGACAGTCAAAAGAGTGTACACTTTTCGGTCTTACCGCATAGGCGCGCGAAGTGCCGAAAGCATCTGGGGTATTGTTTTTTTTTGAGCGCCGAGAGCGCGAAAGTGTTAACTTAGACACTAGACATAGAAATAGGTAAGGGAGAGTAGAAGGCAGAAGGGGAGAGGCGCCGAGCCACACAGTCCAGTTGTTTACACCTCGAACGCCAGCAGAGAAGACCGCATCCAGCGACCAGATCAGGCCTCCCGAGTTGAGTGGTGCCGGGAAGAGCCTAATTGATCGTGCAGCTATACATATTACAATCTTCACCTATGTACCATATTGTTTACTTTACTCGGTCTAGGGAAAGTTAATAATTACTACAATGTTATACTTAATCCCCAATAAGCTCAAGAGTCTGAATGCTTTGTGAGCAATCAAGATTCGTCCTACGTTTGGCAAGGAAGATATGAACAAAGACACGTCGACAAGCGTGTCAAATATAAAGTAGTTTATTTAGCTCAATTTGACCTCTGGTTTCCAATTGAGGAACCCAGGGTCGTACAACCTACGAAGAGACAAAAATTTGCTGAAAGGACCGCCAGGAAATTTCATACTGCCGTTTAGACGAAACTCGCAGGTGGGACACCATCAACTAAGCCACCTGATCACCATACAAGTGGTGATACACCCGCATCAAAGAGACCAGACGTGAAGAGTGGAGAAGATCGAACCTGCCATGTAACAGACCTGACCGATCTGCTGAAAGAGGCGGAGCCACGGGAATACTCTTGGGTTCGGACATCGAGCAAGAAGCGGCTGAAACCAAGGCTGGCCCGGCCACCAAGGAGCCAACAGGACTACTCTCCCTTGGCAAGTCTCCAACCGAGCCAGGATCTGGAGCAACAACCGGACCACAGGGAAGAGGTACAGGTAACTCCGCCTCGACCAGTCCAGCCGAAAGGCATCGACCCTGATGGCCTCACTGGAAGAAGCCTCGACCACGCCGATGCGAAAAGGTCCACCTCTGGGCGCCCGTACGTCCGGCAGAGCCAACTGAACGATTCGGCGTTGACTGTCCATTCCGTGGAAAGGGGAATGAATCGAGACAGGCCATCCGCCAGGACGTTTGACACCCCTGAACATGATCCGCCAGGAGAGCCAAACTCCGAAAACTCGGCAGACAAGTCACCCGAAGTGACCGGCCCCAAAGAATCAAAGACCGCATCAAACCCCCGCGGTTTACGCAATGAACCACCGGGAACAGTCCAAATGGAGCCGGATCGTTGCTCCTCGAGCGACCCAAATCCTCTGAAGTGAATGTCATACCGCCGCAAACTCCTTCGTCATGCTGTGAGCTCGACGGCAGGACAGACCCCACCGACCCTGGCCGGCCTGGTGAGCACTTGTCACAAAACCCCAGCCGAGAGACGAGGCATCCGTGAACATATCGAGTGTTGGCTCGGGGAGGCGCCATGGCACAGAATCCCGAAAAACCTGCAGAGGAAGCCAGCAACTCAGCAGCCGACGCAAGGCTCCCGGGCTCTGAACCCATCAATCGCAAGGGCAGCAGAAGGGATGACCCTGAAGAAACCAGAACATCCGCCGAATCCGGAATCGACCCGATGGGTAGACCAGCACAGCGAAGTTCAGGCTCCCACACAACCGCTCAAACAACTGACGTGTGACCCGGGTGCCCTCCAAAAACAGCTGCAACAGCATCGCAGGAGGGAGAGACAAGGAAACAGTCCAAGAGTCCCACACCAGACCCAGCCAAGTCCGAACCTGAGAGGGAACTGAAAGGGACTTCCTCCAGATCACCACGAACCCGAACCCGGCGACCTGGGAAAGAACCATATCCTTGGCGAGCAGACACGCGAACTGGCTGGGAGCCCACACCAGCCAGTCGTTGAGGTAAGCCAGAACCTGAACCCCTAACAGAAGCAAACAGGTCACCACGACCCAGTAAGGCATGTGAACACTCGAACGCGCCAGCCTTGGTTGCTGGCTCATTTGCTGCAATGCTATTGGTCAAATTGTAACTCTTTTGTGTGTGTCCGACGAGATGCCCAGAGCCGCTGGCAAAAGCATTTTCGTGAGGAAGCTCTTGCATAGAAGATGTGTTCTGTTCTGTCTATCGGCCAATAGATAGAAGAACACTGTCTATTCCTCGCCGTCAAGTTAAACTCGGCATCTTTTCGATATACCAATGCTCGCCCGGAATCGCGACTGTGATATATTGTTCAGAAGCCTAAGTGACATCACCAGAGTGAAACAGACTGGTATCACGTAACCCCTGGTGACAGACAAAGATCGTTGTGAGTGACCTAGAGTGAACTAAGGCAGTGCCGCCGCCTAAGTAACCTGTGTGTGACTTTACCACAAGTGTACCTGCATAGTACCACATAACCTGCAGTAGCCAGCCGTCACTCGGTCCAGAGCGTGTAGCTAGTACCTCTGTACCTCGTGTAGCCTCGAGCCGCCCGCCGCCACCCTCACTGTACCACGTGACATCACCACCTTACTCACTGCCAGTGCCAGAGTGTGTGCGTGTGTCTGTGACATACAGCGCGCCCTCCTGCGAGTACCCCCGTTTCAAGTACGGTTTGTGGGAAACCCTGTCGTCAATGGTCTCACTTCAGAACGAGGAAACCAGCTATCAGGCCACCTACGAGTGCTTGCATAAATGTGCCTGAGTGAGTGAGTGAGTGAGTGAGTGAATAAGAGAGATACCCCATCTGTAAGTACAAGATCTTGTCATTGTTTTATTGTGTCTGTGTTGATCTGAGGGATCAACCACAGTTCTCACCTACTCATACCTGTCACAGGTTATAGGTGAATCGACGGTGTTTGCGTGTTTATCTGTGTGGTATCACTGCATTTCACTCGTCTGTGAATGTGAGCTTCACATACATCACACATTTAGTTATTGTGTGATTATTATTGTGCATGTTATTGCCTGTCCCATTGACGGTTTATTTGTGATTATTGCATATCATCATTACCCGAGTATCCGGTTGAAACTCTTGTGATCCCTTTGCATACCGGCAGTTAGGTTGCCGTGTTAATGATTGGCTGTCAATTGTGTTAAGTTAGGTGTTACTCCACGAGTGGATCTGAGTCGATTAGCCAGACGTCAAGAGTCTCGCTAATGCAACCATTGCCTTTCTGACGCCAATCTGAAGTAAACCAAGCACCCTTTGTATTAGTGGTTAAGTTAGTAAATAAACTACTGTTAAGCTTTATGCGGTGTTTCCGTTGAACCACTTCTGAATACTGCCAACATTACTCAAGCCTTCAGCTCTAGGTGTCTTCAACACCGAGTTGCCTATACAGTATTCACTAAACTATAAATGTGATGAGGAGACTAGGAATCCCATAAAGTGTTAAATCATTGAGGAGATTCCAACGATCAACATGAGGCTAGTCTGAGAAGAGACCCTAAGGACTCTAACTCGACCTTGCTCCCAGGTCCTGTACGGTTGCTCTCGTATTTTCTCTGCTGATTCCGCCAGCTTTGTGAAGCGTCTGCCACATGTACATTGGCAACGTACACATTGCAGTCAGGAAAGCAAAAAAGAAAACCCCCACATCTGGTTTAAGTCACTTTCTCCCTAACTGGAATTAATCCTATCTAAATGACATTACCGGCCGGAAATGATTAAATAAGATTTCGGAAAGACACTTTCCTTGTTTAGATGTTGACTCTGTGTTGATGATGGAAGAAGCACTAATTTGATCTCCATAACACTTTGTCCAATAGGAGACACTTATAAACACTTATAGGAGCTGAACTCGCTCCAGCAACTCTGGTCTTAAACAATTGCAGTTAATTCAAATGAGATGTTTTATGATGTTAAACGTCCAAAGACTGCTGTAAGATAATAATTCCAACAGAATAGCTGGCAAATTTAATAGCGAGGTGGCAATGATATCCTGTTTTCTATTCATAGAAAATTCCACTACTGGCTACATTTTCTATGGGTTAACTTGTGTATACAACCCAGCAGCAATATTATCTGCTTATTGTATTTAAAATTAGTAAATGGACTGTATTTAATATTAGTTGGATTTTCTGACAAATGTTGTTATATTAAACAAATACAATGGTTCCAAAAAACTAATGCATTCCTACTTTGTCCAGAGTGGTGACATTATTATGTTTCGTGGGATGATGGATCTCCTTGAGAATGATGACCAAGTTGCTGTTATCCTGGCACATGAAATGAGTCATGTTATCTTGGAGCATGCAGTAAGTATGTTGACTGGATTTTGAGACCTTTGCTCACTGTACTTCATCACTATGACAAGCCCCTGGTGCACAGACAAAAATGATTTCCCCAAAGTTGTTTTCTGTGGTGAGCCCCATTGGCTCCCTGAAACTATCACACTGAATAAGTTCCATACTACTAAGTGTCATCATTTGCAGAGTTTCATTGGCCTACCAGGGACTACGAGCCAGAACTTGGCTCCCTCAGAGATTGCAGGGAGCGATGGCCTATGAATATTTTACATTTAAAGTTTAGCATCTTTTGTCACCATCCAAGGAAAGGCACCCAGAAAGATAAGTGGATCAAAACAGGCTACGGTATGATTAAAATGAAACTGCAGCCTCAAAGTTGCCTAAAGGACTAACCATAATGAAAAGAAAGTTTTGTGAAACTAGCCTCTCACTAGCTTGCCCTTTCAATCTTAATTAACACTATCGCTCGCTTTGGACACTGATCACGTGGGGAGCCCCTACGGCTCCCTGGAGCTTATCGGGCTAATGTATGTTATATTAGATTGGGACATTAGTTAAGGAGTTCAGACCTACCAGGGACCAGCGCCAGAACCTGGCCCCTTCAGAGAGGTTTCAGGGAGCAATGACCCTGGAAAACCCCCTTGTGGTTGGGGTTTTCCTTATCTGCCATCGACCAGGGTTAGGCACCCAGAAAGGTAGGCGTAACAAAACAAACCCAACATGGTAAAAAACTAAAACAAAAAACCGAACAGAGAGGTAGAAACTCCCTACGATCCCATTGAAACAAGCAAACAAGCAAACATCACACTTTACTGCCGCGCCGATCGTCCGCTCAGCCCTCCCCGCCCTAAGTGGGGGAGGGGGGAGCCCTGGACCTACCGCGCCGGCTGCCAAGCTTCAGTTCGTAAGCTAATGTCAACCAGGATAGACGCTTCTCTGGCCTCAGTTTATTAGGCGGTTTCCTAGGCCTTGTGTGGCGTTCACTGCCGTGTGTTGTGTTGTACGGTGGCCAGGAGTACCTCATCAGTGCTGGGGCTGCATGCACTTAGGGGCTTCCTTCCCTAAGCGCCCTGCGTGTACTGCCCCACCGTGACAGGGTTATCTTCCCTGGGGCGTTCGGGAACCATTCCCGTAGAGGTTCTTGCTGCTCGGCATTTGCCTCGCCCTTGGGGCCAGCTGGGGCTTGGGGGCCCTTGTTTGGCCCTGGGAAGGGACTGGTATTGTGCTGGTTAGGGCATCAAGGTATTGCATAACCTGCCACCTAAGCGGCGACTGGTTCCTGTTGCCTCTGGAGACAGTGTACTTTTAATTTTTTTTTTTTTTTTTTTTTGCATTTGCCTGGTGGGAGTCTGCCTAGTGTGGCTATTGTTTCACTGGTAGAGTTTGTTGGCCCTCTGCTAGGCCCCCGTGATTGTACACGTCGCAGGGGTTTTCAGTGTCGTCCTCTACCCCTTTGTTATTTTTGGGTTTCTTAACCGGTTAGCAACACCTTGCCCGGGCTTCCCGTAGCAGTCAGCCTACGGGCCCTGGAAACCCCTGTCGGGGCTCGGTGGACCATTGAATGTGTCTTCCGGGTTCCAACCCATCTTGTACGGGATCGTTGGTTGCTGTGCCTTGTCTCCGGGTGACAATCGCCACTTTTACCTCCGTCATGTTGCCTGTTGGGTCACTGACACCTTGACCCGGAGTCTTGCGAGAGAGATTCTCTGCTTGTTCTCCAGTACTCCTCTGATGTTATTACTGTTCAGAGTACAGCGGCATCCATGTTGCAAGCTAGGTTAGGTTGCTGCAACACGCTAGGTTGGTTCCCACTCGGATGCCCCGGGGCCACCACGTTTTGGTTAGGTGCTGTTCACCCCTTTTCCTCCCTGTTCCTGACTCCGGACCATCTGCAGGTTTCCGGGTCGGGGCAGGGTTTAGTTGGGGCCGAGACTCTGGCGGTTTTTGAGGGCTGCCCCGTTCGGGTTAGGGACGGAGGTTTTCGAGCCTGTTCCTCCTGCCAAGGCTTCTGGGTCTTACCAGCGGCCCTTTCTTGCTGCCTTTCGCATGGACTCTTCCTTTTCTTTAAGGTCGGAGGGCTCGGAGGACGGCTCTGCCCTGGGGCTTCTGTTGTGGGTTACCGGGGCTGTGGGGAATGCCTGCTAGCAGTTCTGGGGCGGTTTGCCCCTGCCTGGGTTTTCTGCTTCTGGGCGGTGTTTTTTGCCCATCCAGTCTGCTTGCTTCCCACTTTTGCTGGCATATTTTTGTATCTTTTGCGTTGGTCACAGCCCTCACTTCTGGTGGCCATTTTCTTCTGCCGGTTTCCCGGCGTGGCAACCAGGGCAGCGTTGCGGTTTGTTTACACGCGCCTGGATGTGCGAGCGAGCGTCTTGGGTGATTTTTTGCCTTTTTCAGGGGTTTTATTCTCCTGTTGTCGTTTCTTTGCTTTTCTGGTGTTTTCTGACTGTTTCCTGTTCCTCTGGGAACGCTTGAGTGTTGATTTTATACCGGGTTTTCTGTTTTGTCTGTTTTAGGTCTGGGCCTTAGGGTTTGGGCTCAGTGTCCCTGTCTGTTATGCTTGCACCCATACCTTGTCCCTCATTTTTTGGTCTGTTTTTGACCGTTTCCCTGTGGGTTCTGCCTGGGGGCTGTGCTTTGCCTTTCTGTGGTGTATCTCCGCCAGCAAATGTGGTGGTTTGGGCTCCCCCTGGTTCGATTCCGGGTTCCTTTGGGTTCTTTAGTTTCGTTCCGGAGGTTTCTTCCTCTTGGGCCCCCTTTGTGGGTTCAGGGGGGCTTTGTTTCCTTGTGTGTGACCCGGTTCTGCCTTCTGGGGTTCCAGGGTCTTCTTGGCTTCCAGACTGATCTTTTTCGGCCTTGGTACATGTTGTGGTCGTGCTGAGACTTTGGGGTTTTGTTGTCAAGGTGGGCCTTTTGATACAGTTTTGTGTCTTCTTCGCTTGGCCGGCGTGGTGCTCTCTGCCCACTGGTCGGCGGTTTGTAATTTTCTTTTCACGTGTATGTTTGTGTGTGTGTACACATGTACATGTGCATGTGTACACTGTGTGTGTGTGCATGTATTTATATGTGTATATGTGTATATATATATATATATATATATATATATATATATATATATATATATATATATATATATATATATATATAATATATATGTGTGTGTATATACATAATATATATGTAACTGAAAACTCACACCCCAGAAGTGACTCGAACCCATACTGCCAGGCACTCTGCTGGCATACAGGATCCCTTAACCGCTCGACCAACACGACTAGACAAAAGAGGATGGTAGCCGAGGCTATTTCCATCCCCCCGCCGGCACTCGGTTGGTAATCTTGGGCATGGTATTTTATCAAATCACCTTATTCTTTGGGGCACACGAGTGGAACACAAATGCGAACTAGCCTGAATGGTCCCCAGGACTATATTCAACTGAAAACTCACACCCCAGAAGTGACTCGAACCCGTACTGCCAGGAGCACTCTGCTGGCGTACAGGATCTCTTAACCGCTCGACCAACACGACCAGACAAAAGAGGATGGTTGCTGAGGCTATTTCCATCCCTCCCCACCGGCACTCGGTTGGTAATCTTGGGCATGGTATTTTATCAAATCACCTTATTCTTTGGGGCACACGTGAGGAACACAAATGTGAACAAGCCTGAATGGTCCCCAGGACTATATGCAACTGAAAACTCACACCCCAGAATTGACTCGAAACCATACTGCCAGGAGCACTCTGCTGGCGTACAGGATCCCTTAACCGCTCGACCAACACGACCAGAAAAAGGGTGATTAGAATAAGGTGATTTGATAAAATACCATGCCCAAGATTACCAACCAAGTGCCAGCGGGGGGATGGAAATAGCCTCGGCTACCATCCTCTTTTGTCTGGTCGTGTTGGTCGAGCAGTTAAGGGAGCCTGTACGCCAGCAGAGTGCTCTTGGCAGCATGGGTTCGAGTCACTTCTGGGGTGTGAGTTTTCAATTGCATATAGTCCTGCGGACCATTCAGGCTTGTTCGCATGTATATGTGTATGTATACTTTTTCTTTCGGAAGGGGCTCTGGTTGATTACCTGGTTGATGGGGTTCTGGGAGTTCTCCTACTCCCCAAGCCCGGCCCGAGGCCAGGGTTGACTTGTGAGAGTTTGGTCCACCAGGCTGTTGCTTGGAGCGGCCCGCAGGCCCACATACCCACCACAGCCCGGTTGGTCCGGCACTTCTTGGAGGAATAAATCTAGTTTCCTCTTGAAAATGTCCACGGTTGTTCCGGCAATATTTCTTATGCTTGCTGGGAGGACGTTGAACAACCGCGGACCTCTGATGTTTATACAGTGTTCTCTGATTGTGCCTATGGCACCTCTGCTGTTCACTGGTTCTATTCTACATTTTCTTCCATATCGTTCACTCCAGTACGTTGTTATTTTACTGTGTAGACTTGGTACTTGGCCCTCCAATATCTTCCAGGTGTATATTATTTGATATCTCTCTCGTCTTCTTTCTAGTGAGTACATTTGGAGGGCTTTGAGACGATCCCAATAATTTAGGTGCTTTATAGCATCTATGCGTGCCGTATATGTTCTCTGTATTCCCTCTATTTCAGCAATCTCTCCTGCTCTGAAGGGGGAAGTGAGTACTGAGCAGTACTCAAGACGGGACAACACAAGTGACTTGAAGAGTACAACCATTGTGATGGGATCCCTGGATTTGAAAGTTCTCATAATCCATCCTATCATTTTTCTGGCTGTCGCAATATTTGCTTGGTTATGCTCCTTAAACTTTAGGTCGTCAGACATTATTATTCCCAAATCCTTTACATGCTGTTTTCCTACTATGGGTACATTTGATTGTGTTTTGTACTCTGTATTATGTTTAACCACTGCACTGCGCAAAGCGCCTTTAGGCGCTCAGAGAGTTGTACTTTTTGTTTTTTAATTTGGCTATATTTTAATGTTTTTTAATGTTTTCATTACTATTTGTGTTTTGAAATGGAAATAGTTGACTTTGGAA